TACAGGAGCAGAACATCTTGCCAGAGGGGCACAAAAGGTTCACTCCCAAGGGCAGCATCAGGAAGGAGCTGAGCACAACAGCCAAGCCCAAGCCAGGCACAGCAGAATAAATCCAAACTTTGTATATCTGCACCTGAATTTCAGTAGGAGCGAATGTTATAACTGCACCAAAGATCTACAACAAAGGTCGGAAGACAGTGCTACACAAAGTGACAATGAAAGCAGCAAAATGCAATCTCACACCCCAAGCCCAATCATAACAAAGCACAGGACACCAACACAGAAAAAATTGGAAACCACACAGCTGAAATCAATGAATCAACAGCTTCTGAAATAAAGAAACAACTGAAGAAAGGTATAGAGGAACTCAGATTGGAAATGAAAAAAGAAATCCCTGAATTAATAGCATCTTCAGTAAAGAATCAAATGCAGAAACATATGGAGGAAACCTGATGCCCACACAGAACAAGTAGAAGACACTAGCTCAGCTCACATATATGAATTAATAGTGTCAAAAGTAAATAAGCAACAGCAGAAGGAGACAGAGGAATTCAGAATGGAATTCTTTTCTGAAATAGAAAACAGAATTCTCTGAATTCATAGAGTCTGAAGTAAAGAATCAACTACAGAAACAAAAGGAGGAAACCCAATGTGAAGAAAACACTGCAGGAAAAAATTAATAACTGCTTCTAAAGAAGGCATTGATAAAAAATAGAAGAGATTAGAGAAATGTCAGATTCCTTGAATGAGCAACACGGAAAGAAATCAATCACATGAAACAGAGTCAAAGAGATGTAGAGGAACTTAAAATCTCAATCACAAGCTTGCAAAACTGTTTAAATGAAAGGGAAGACAGAGTTTCAAATATTGAAGTTGCTGGTGCAGCTAGTGAAAAGGTAAGAAAGGACCTTCTGAAAACAACTAGGATGCAGGAAAAAATAATTCATCATCTGCAAGACGATGCAAAGATGAACAATGTGAGACTAATAGACATCAATGTGAAAGAAGGAGTCAATACAAATGGCATCAAAAAATAATGGGCAGAAGTAATAGCAGAAAACTTCTCAAATATGAGGAAACAATCTGACATTCAGGTAACTGAAGCATACAGAATGCCAAGTAACCTCAACCCAATTAAAAACACACTGAGACATACAATAGTCAAGATCCCAGAAATTCAGCACAAGAATAATATACTGAAAGCCACTAGAGAAAAGAAGAAGATCACATTCAAAGGGAAACCCATCAGAATTACAGACGACTTCACTTCACAAACCATGAAGGCAAGAAGAGCATGGAGCAGAGTACTTCAAGTCCTCTATGAAAACAAATTCCAGCCCAGACTACTATACCCTGCAAAACTCTCCTTCAAATTTGATGGAGAAGTGAAATACTTCCATGACAAAGAACAACTAAAGAATTTCATGATGACCAAGCTAACCTTACACAGCCTCCTGAAAGATGTTCTGGAGAGGGACCAAAATGATCAGAACTCCATGAATTCTCTTCTCTTTAGGAGCAAATCAGCCCTTGGAAGCAAATAATTTATACCATAGTTGCCAACTTTTCCTTTCCCATCGTTTTTCTTTTCCTTGATGTCAAAGGAATTGGACAGATACTGAAACTGTTTCTGAACTCAGATGTGTTTTTCTAATCTTATGTCAATAGAGTGGGTTGAAGGTAAGTGTTTCTAGGGTGCTGTGCTGTATACATCTGCATTATAAATCCATTTTACCTTTGGCTAAGGTTATTTTAACTGGAGATAGAAAAAGAACACTGAGAAAATTAAATATACCTAAGTACTCAATGGAAGGCATTGGCTGATGAATATTTAATACAACCAAGAACACACCTTAGATGATTGTAAAATACAGCCTGTTTTTGTAATGGTCTATGAATATCAGAACTCCATGAATGAGATGAGAAGCAATCAACTAAATAGGGCAAGCAATTAAACACAGGAGAAAAAGGAGTAAATGACAACAGGTAAATAACATGCCAATTGCAAGTCAATACATCTAAATTTTAACCATCAATGTAAATGGACTCAATTCCCCAATTAAGAGAAATAGACTGTCACAGTGGATTAGGAAACAAAATCCAAAAATATGCTGTATACAAGAAACACATTTAACTCATAAAGATATTGAGGATTTGTGTATGTCTATGTATGTGTTTGAGCAGTGACTCTAGGAATGAAGAAATGAATGAATGAACAAGCAAATGAATGAAGGAAGGTGGTAAATGGCCTTTTATCTTTCTTTACATTAAACAGTCCTCTGATAGAAGATGCTCTTACTGCCTTCTCTTCTCTGCACACAGACCCATAGCATTGCTTTTCCAGAAATAATGGAGAAAAATACCAGGAAAGATCTTAGGAGCCACTGGACTTTGTTACAGCCTTTTATAAGAGTGAGCAGGTATTTTCTTCAGTAAGGTACCTATCAAGATTGTAGCTGTCAATAAGGAGGTTTTGCTTCTGGGCTTCTTACTGTCAAAGGCACTCATTGAGACCTGGACTTATCTTGCAATATTTATTTCACCTTAATGTTATGAGCCATTACAATTCATTCATTCATTCATTCATTCATTCATTCATTCATTTGAATAATCACTCATCAAATACTTATTGAGTGGCTAGTGCATACAAGGACTCATCTGAGTTTGGGCTTGTTCTCCATGTTTGACTTGATCATTGTTATTGAAGGCCTCAGTATAGGTAAAGTAAATTTATAACACAGATAATACCTTGTATGATGTGGATACAATCATCAGTGGCTACAGGAAGCCACAAAGGATCCCTTGAACCACTGTTGGTTGAGATGAAGGGAAAGGAAGGAACTATCAACTGTCTTTTGAGAGATGTAAAATCTGAGTTGAGATCTCAATGTTGAGGAATAGACAACTCAGCAGGAATAACTGCCTATGTAATGAGTCAGAGATAGAAAAGAGTGTTTGTCGTGCTCAAAAGAGCTTTAAACTAGTTTTTGGAGCTAAGAACAATAAGTATGAGACTAGAGATGTAAATAGTTCATGGGCAGCCGTAGTTAAACATGCTAGAATTTTGATCATTTTTGAGGTCAGTGTGTTGCATCAGAGATTTTAGGTTGAAGGATTATGATGATTGCTGTACAGATTTAATGCAATCCCTATCAGACTACCACTGACATACCTCACAGACCAAGCAAAATCATTCTTAAAATTTATCTGGAACCAGAAAAGACCTAGAATAGCAAAGGCAATCCTGGGCAATAAAGACAAGACAGGAAGCATTACACTTCCTGACTTGAAATTATACTACAAGGCTACTGTGACAAAATCAACAAGGTTCTGGCAGTAAAATAGACCTGAGGATCAATGGAATAGATTAGAAGATGCTGAAGCCCCTACGAACACACTCAGCCACCTTATCTCTGACAAAGGGGCCAAACATACTCGCTGGAAGAAAGATAGCCTCTTTAACAAATGGTGCTGGAAAAACTGGCTCTCTACATGCTGAAAACTAAAACTTGACCCAGGTCTATCACCATGCACTAAGCTGAAGTAAAAATGAATTAAGGACCTAAACATTAAAACAGAAACCTAAATTCCTGCAAGAGAATGTAGGAGGAACTCTTGAAGACATAGGGATAG